CATGGGGATGTGGGAGACCCTGTTCAATTCTCCCCTCTGCTTGATGTGGGGAAGAGATTTGAACATATGTCTCCTACATTATAGAAGAGCCATTGCCACTAGGCTATGCGATAGTCTGCTACGGAGCTTTCCCAGGCCTGCTCTACACTAGAATGTTAAGTCGACTAGTTTTGCATGTGTCTGCGTCTAAACTTGTCTGCTGCCAACGTAAGCACCACTTCATTGATGCAATTACAGCACATCCCCAAATGATACAAGCCAAAATTGTCCTACTTCCAGCATTGTAGTGTTAGTGTAGACAATGCATTACCTTTGTCAACCTTCCCAGGCATCCAGCAGCTAGCCCGCAACAGTGGTCACTCTGGTCACAATTTTTAACTTCACTATTTTGGGGTGGCACTGATAGTGGACACCTGACACTCCGCCCCTCCCCATGCCTTAAAAAACACAGCATGATTTTGAAATGCCTTTTCCTGGTTGCCCACTTTGGTGAGCACATATATTAACCCACTTTTGTGCACTTCCATCCCTGCTGGCTCAGTGCGGACAGAGAGCTACACCTAATGTGCTCGTTCCTGGAGCAAAGGCCTGGAGCTCCTCGGCCTGGACAGGTGGGCGGGTGTGAGGAGGAGAGACTGGACAAGCACAGCTAAGGAGCACCCAAAGGAATAGAGCCAGCTAAGTGCAGATTGTGCATGGGGATGGCCTGGGGCACAATAGGGGTGAGAATCAATGGCAAGTGAAAGTGAGGCAGATCATAAGGTGAGGAAGGGCAGTAACTAATCTGGGGCTGCCCAGCAGACCTGTTGCTTCTACAAGTGGGGTGGGCAAACCTTTAGGCCTGAGGGCCACATTGGGGAATAGAAATTGTATGGAGGGCCATGAATGCTCACAAAATTAGGGTTGGAGTGTGGGCTCTGGGGTGGGGCTGGGGATGAGGATTCTCGGGTGTAGGAGAGTGCGTTGAGCTAGGACCGAAGGGTTTGGAGGGCAGGAGTGGGATCAGGGCTGGGGCAGGGGTGCAGGTTCTGGCTCGGGGTGCGGGCACTGATGTCGGGTTGGTGATGAGTGGTTTGGGGTGCAGGAGGGTGCTCCGGTCTGGGCTCGAGGGGTTTAGAGAGCGGGAGGGGGAATCAGGGCTGGGGCGGGGGGGTTGGGGCATGGGTTCAAGGCTCAGGGATGTGGCCCTGACCCAGCAACCCTCCTTTTCCCCCCACCCCAGAACAGTGTCGAGACAAGTGGTGCAGACCCGACCCTACGCCTGGGCCAGAGTGGGGCCGCACTACGTGGCTCAGCCCCTGACCCAGCGCTTGGTGCGGCTCAGGGGCCAGCTTAAAATGACCCATGGGCCATAGTTTGCCCACCCTTGTTCTACAATGACCTGCATGCCACACTTGGCAGGGACTCCACCAGCACCCTTGATGTGACTGGGGACACTTTGTGTGAGCTGGATGTGGAAACCCCTGCAGTGCACAGTAAGGAGTGGGGAGACATAAATCATAGGGCAAGCCAGGAGCTATTTCAAACTCTGCCAGAATCAAGCCAATTCCACCAGTTTCACACAGATGAGCCTGCTGACGAAGGAAAGGGTATGCAGGTAAGTGTATGGGTGCATTATTTCTTAGGAGCATGTTTGTTTCCCTTTTTAGTGCCCTGTGTCCCTTTTCCTGCCCTTCTTCCCTATTTAAAAATTGCCCCCCTCCCATCTGTACTAGTTAAGAGAATAAAGGCAGCAACTTTTGATTCTTCAATTTACTTTGTAAACCAGCTCTGGGCATACAATTCAACGCTTTGGAATGCATAGCAATCAACTACAACATGGGCAAAAATAAATTCAAACAGCTGAGTGTAGCAGTCCAAATTACACGGTCTACGTCAGCTCACTGCCCTGGGCTCCAACAGAAGTAGAAGAAAGAGGTAGAGGTGGCATTTGCTTTGCCTTCCTTTGGCTCGTTGGGTGGGGAGGCAGGGGACATAAATCTCCCTATGTGGTGTTTAGCTTCTTGACCACCCACAATGAGGCTTTCATGGAGATACTGTGCCATCCCCTCCTGAACGTTTCTAGGGATGGCACCATCATTTCTTTCCCCACCATGGGACCCATTCCCATACCACTCTTTGAAGGGTTTCGCTGGTACCAGTGCAGAAAGCAGGCTGGCAGCCCTAGGGTGGCTTCGGGATGCCAGTAGCAGCTGTGTTCTCTGGGCATTTGCCACCCTTAGACTTGAGATATCAGCCAAAATCACTGCTGGCTGTGAAAATATTGGCACCATGCACTGCACTTTCCCTGTACTCATACCCAGGGCTGCCCAGCATATAAAACTCCCATGCAATAGTCCTGACTCAGCGCATCTTGAGCTGCAGAGTGGTGCTGTAATGAGAGGCTAAAATGACAGCATTTTTTATTAAAGATCATGATGGGACTAATGTAAGGCAGGTTTGAGCCTTATCATCACTCCCTTTCTGTTGTGACTGTAAATCTAACACTAGCTGTTGCTCTGCTCAGCAGCCTCTGGCATGGTGGCCTTGAGCGGTGACCCCTTTGCATCTGCTGAATGCCTTACATGGACTAGATGAAGAAAGAAGCAGCCCAAGGAGGACATGTTCTGTGGGCTCCGCCAGTCTTCTATAGCTACTGACCACAAACACAGGGACTGGAGGTGCAGAAGGGTTAGAGCAGGGCGAAGGTCTAGGCATGGAGTGATTGGCTGCTGGAGAAGAGGCAAAGGGACAGCAAAGTGCATTATGGCTTTGCTCAGGCAACGAGCAAAAGGCCAAAGACCCTGTCCACAACAGCCTTCTCATTCCATGGAAAACTCCATGGTCACTGCTCCCTATACTCCCCAGCATAACAGGTGGCATCATGGCATGAATCCTACCACTCCACGCCAGGGGAGAACAAGAATGATGGTTACACCTACACCACTGACCTGTGATAGCTGCAGGCTCAGCCAGCTCGCACAGTGCACTAGTTTTTAAACATGGATGAACGGTTGTAATGTGTTTTACTTTTTAATTTGTAAGCATGTATGTTTATTGTTGTAATTGGTTTGTGTAAGAATGGGGCACACTATTACAGTGCTGCTAAAAAAATTTGTAACTTGTTTATTTGCACGTTACCTTTGTTTCCTGTTTGTTTACAGACAAAGTTTTAGTTTTTGAAACTCAGTGTATACTCATTAGTTTGAACCAAGCAGCCAAGCCAAATTACAAAAGTCATATCAGGCCTCATCACCGACCCATATTTAAGGTCTATGCACATGAAGGCACACAAGTTCCCAGAAGTACTACACTACTCAAGCTTACAGTTAAAATGGTCTTTTAAGGCCTCCCTTACAGCTCCATGGTTGACTTTTCTAATAGCCTTTGTGTCTGACTGTTCAAAGTCAGCAGACAGCTGGCCCACCTCACCCCTCCACTCTGCTGGTAGCCTTTCCCCCTTCACCTCACAGGTATTCTGGAGTACACTACATGCAGCAATACTAATAGGAATGTTTGCCTTGTTGAGAGCCAAGTAGTAATTAAACATCACGGGTGAGCTCTGAGATTACCAATGGGACATTCATCAGGGATCTTGCACCTACTCAGCTGGGAATTGAATCTTTCCTGGGCTCTATCAGGATGGCCAGTACGGTTTCATGAGCTAGGGGAACAAAGTTCCTCCAGAATCACTATAATCATTTCAACATCACCAGTGTGAATGCCGTGGTCGGGGAAAGATGGGGTGGTGCCAGAGTAAGGATGTTTGCCCCATCTAGCCTCACCCCAGTTCAGGAACCTCATTGCTTCAAATCCAGCTACTACTTCCTGCAGAGCAGGATACACTTGATGGCCTTGCACACTTGGATGCCCATGGCCCCCACTGTGGATTTTTCCAATTCTGAACAGATTCCCCACTGGTCAATAGCAATGTACCTGTGCAAGATTCCATAGTATGCTCACCACTCGCTTTTACGCTGCCAATGCTGGTGTCTCTGCACTGGAGGGCTGAGGCGAGCTCGGCACACAGATGCAGGAATGTGGGCTTTTGCATCCAAAAGTTCTGCAACCAATGCTTGTCAACCCAAACCTGCATTACGATGCCACCCAACAATCTGCGCTCATTTCTCAGGCCCAGAAGCTCCTATTCACCATGTGGAGTTGCTGTGTGAAGACCAGCAACCACCTGAGACTTTTATTCACTGTGTCCATCATCCATTCATCATCCGCGAGAAGCTCATCTTCCTCCTTGCACACTTGATTGTAGTTGTACGTGCTGAAGTTTCAAAAAGTGGCATGTAGGAATTTTAAAAGTGGTGTGAAAATTATGGGACGGAAAAAGTGAGATTGTGGGATTTGATCCCTTTCCCAGCAATTTCTGGGTGACTTGCTGGTGTCCCTCAGTGCACTGTGAAAATGTCCCAAGAAGCGTAGCGCTGGATGGTGATGTGAGGTACACTGGTATACCTACCGTATTTTCTATTGACACAACCAGCTGTGGTGAGGACATGCAGGGCTGACATAAGCACCCATGTGGCTGAGCAATATAAAAAAATTGGCAGCTCTAAGCTGAGTAACTTATGTTGACCAAACTATAACACAGACACAGCTTCAGTCTTTCCTGTTCAATTTTTTATAAATAAAATCAATGGAGCAGGGACTTGAACCCCTTACACCCTAGAGTGGCCTAACCACCATTCTATAGAGTTATTTTCTTGCTAGGTCCCTGGCACAGTGAATAGTCCTTGGGCCATGGTATAGTTCTCCTGGCAAATTTCCCCATGTAGACAAGCCCTTATGAAACTTGTCATGTTACTATACTCTGAGAAATGGACTAAAAACTTTATTTCCACTGCCTTGTTCTGTGGACACAGGGTCTTCAGTTTAGACGGCTGTCAAGCCAGCATTCTTTCACAAGCACTAAAAATAAATGTATGTTAAAGAACTAAAAAGCGCAAACACCAGTATACTAAACAGATACACTTGATCAACATGGCACAAAATTGCAGCAAAACCACAAATCTGAATAAATAAGTATCAATTTTATTGAATCATGAATAATTTAAGACTGGTACAATCATCAGCTTTATTTTCCATGACATTGGGGGCGGAGGCCATGATCTCAAACAGACCATTTGCAAATTCCAATCCTAAATGACAACTGAAAATTAAATAGGGAGGGGAACAGATGGCAAACATCATACCGTACACAAAATACTCAATTCCTAGTTTTCTCTTTAAAAATGGCTAGAAAAAATTCATCAAAATGCAGCACTTTTAATCAAATATTTACATTTCTATGTTACAGTGAAAAAATGTACATCTTATAGAACATATTTCATAAACTGTTCCACTGGAAACAACTAGATCAAAACAGTAACCTTCCATTTAATATCCACAAAGACTTTTTTTTTGTTTTTTGTTTTTCTTGAAAGAATTGCCACATTTAGACAAGATTCAATACACATAATATCGAAGTTAAGCATCAACAATGAAATAGTTTTTTCTTCCAAAATGTACAAAAAAAAAAGCTAGCCAAACCCACCCTCAACTAAAACTGTCTCCATGTTTCAGTTATGGCCTGTACAATTCTTGGCAGTTCTGAAGGAAAAGAAATGGTTTAAGCTTCCAATTTATAACTCAACATAAATGTTGCATAGAATCTTGTTTGTTTTTTTTGTTTTTTAAAAAAAACAAGCCAACTTTGTAGAAAAAAGGCAAAAAAATTGGAAGCATTTTGGACAAAGCCTTAAAATGAGAACAAATTCATTAAAAACAAAGTTTACTAAGCTATACTGAAATCAGGATGAAGATAAGAAATGTGCATAACAGATAACCCTGCTTCCCGAAGTTTCAGAAAGGACACTGAGTTTTGTGAAGATTAAAATGACTAACCTACTCAAAGTCGCCTCTTTTACAGTACCCCAAATTTTTGTCAATCAGAGAGGAGCAGATAGATAGAACCCCTTTCCTGCATCTGAACACAGGATTAAAAACAAACAATTATCTGACAATTTCAAATGTATTTGTAGGGTTCAGTTAAAAGTTTGCTGAGAAATGCTGTGATGTTAAGTTAGATTAGGCTCTATCCTGCAAACAGATCCACCCAGGCACAAGGATCTACTTGCATGGATTCAGTCTCAGGTTCAGGTATTCAGTTTCTACCCAGATTCACCGTAGTAGCAGGTAAAGTCAGTGCTGGGAAGCAGAATTGTCAGATTGCTGAGAAATGAATCACTCTAACTCATCAGCACGCGCTGCATATGATTCCATAGGAGTGTAGCCCATTTTACAGTAAGAAGATCTGGTTTAATAAGGTTGATTGAGTAACACTTTGCCTTCCATTTAAATGATATAATCTAAATTAGAGTTCAGCAAGGTTAAAGCAGTGACACCAGCTCAGGGGATTTTCCCCTCCCCATCATTAAAATATTTTACTTATTCTTTTACAATTTCTTTTTTTAAAAAGATCATCAAGACTTGAAAGCTGTAATGGGAGCCGATTCATGACCAGCTCTCATTGGATAAAGACAAAAAAGTAACTACAGTCAAATCACAGATAGTAGAAAGTCATAAGGGATAATAAAATTATCCATTCAAACTGAGTCACAGAAGCATGAACTTGTGTCTGTTACATTATTTTAAACCCAGAAGGATTAACAAGCTCTTAAAAAAAAGTGTCTGTAATAAGTTTTCTACCTGTACACTGAAAAAACAGCTATCGCTTTTTGTAGTTTAGTAGCGATAGCATTTTTCATCATAGAAAAGCTTTTTTTTTTCTTGCATTGAATAAACAGTTATCCAATGATCTATTAGCTGCAGATTGATATGAACCTGAAAGGTTATCTCATTTCCCTCCTTTTGTTACCGTCACATTTAAACAAAATCTAATATTTCACACAAACAATATTCACAGCAATTTGTTATTATATTCCAAGAGATGACTTGTTTAGCCCTGTTTGTTTACTTACATAAAACCCCATAATATACAGCACTAATGTAATTAATACAATTAGTACAAAATAAGTAAGGCATCGCTTTAAAATTCAGCACCGAAATATAGCTGGAAAGGCTTGTACAGATCAATGTTGAGGACTGCGGCTCTTGCTGAGTTCAGCCTGAGACAGCTGATGTGTGGTGGCTTTATTGAAAGTATTTGCTCCCCAGGAAAGGAAAGTGCAATTCTTTGTGAGGTGTTCTTGCTCCCCAACAGAAGTACAAGCCTTAATACTGAAACTGTATTGTGTGCGTGTGGAGAGGAGGAGGAGAAACAAAGAATCAGGTTCACAGCTCAGCCATAACCCATGAGCAACTTTTAAACTTTAAAGAGATAGTACCCCCCTTTTTAAGACCTGGATAAGACAGCTTCGATGAACCGCCAAAATACTACTTTCTGCTATTTAAAAACCAAACAAGACTAAATGATGTTACCAGAGTAGCAGTGGCCTGCCTACAGAGCTGAGCTTTAATGAACCCCTTTTGCAGTTGTAATGGTCAGAGAGAGAAATCCCTGACAAAAAAAGTCTTAGAAAACAGCTATAAAATTCTAATACAAATGGTAAAAACTGAAGGCCTGACTATACCCTAATTGGGTGAAATTCACCCCCTATCCATAGGGCGAACAGAGAACCTATGCACCTATGAAGTTCCACTTAAGCTATGGCATTTAAATGGGGCATAGGCCCTTTGCAGAGGAGTGAATTTTGCTCACTTACACCAGTGTAAATCAGGAGTAGCTCTACTACAGTCAATGGAGTTTTACTGGTGTAAGTAAGAGGAGAATCAAGCCCTGAATATCAAAGGGGTACTTGGTCTTTAAAATTCTGTAGGATGGTTGGTTACACAGTGTTTGAAAAAAACCTGATTTGTTTAGACTGTACATATATTTCTATTTATATATCTGTAAATCTCTATAAACACATGGTGAAATAGAGGAAAGCAAGCCAAGGTCTCAGACTGGCAAGGAGAGCAGCTTTTTTTAATTTTAATATTTATTTTAAATTTCCCTGTCTTGCAGCTTTGCCTTTTATGGACCATTATTATCAAGGCAAGCGACATATTATAGCACCAGAACTATCCGCAGCTGAGGTTAGTCTGCAAAACTGATTCGTAGAAATCCAGCCCTCACCCAAATGTGTTTGGTCAGAAGCAACATAGGCAATAAACATTCCTCCCCTCTCCTTCTGGACAGTACATGGCACAATGCTGTTTGTTTCATAGCTGTGAAGTGTTTTGTTTTTTTTAAATGTCTTCAGTATCTTAGGCATGAGGGCTTACAGTAACTAAACAGAACAAAACAAAGACATAGTGCAGTTCTTATAATTGTAAAAAGAAAAACAGTACAAAAGTTGTTTGGGTTACCTGCACCCACATTCAAGACTGACTCAAATAAAGTGTCTTGTTCTTGCAGCTCTAATACTGAGACATCTGCCCAGTCCAGTAACAAGTTATCTTCATTAGTTTGTGATAAAGATTCTTGTAAAGTAGGAGAGGGACAGTGGGAAACCGCCTGTTTTCTGTCTGCTGAAGATCACAACGTCGACTCCAAGGATGAGTCAAGGATGTCATCATGATGGCTGTTGCTGTTGGAGTCGCTGTCATAACTCTGGGGGCTCGAATAGTTGGCTGCCTCTTGCAGTCTCATTAGCATGTTCATCTAAGAAAGCGCGGAAAAGGGTTAAGGGTTATTCGTCTGCTGAGACGAAAGAATCTTAATACTATATAACAATCATATTTGCACTCACATCACTCATGTGAAACCAGTGCAAGAGAGAGGGGAAAATTGGGATATTTCTTTCTGAGACTCTCAAACTGGATACCAAATGTAAAGCAATTCTCACAGCACTCCGTGAGATAGGCAGTTGTTATTACACCCCTCCTATGAGAGACTGAAACTGAAATGCAGAGCGGTTAAATGACTTGCTCTAGGTCACACACAGAGTCAGTGGAAGAGCTATAAAGATTCCACAGCTCCTTATTCCCAGCCACTTGCACTAACCAGTGTTAATATATATTAACTAGAATTCTGTATTTCTAGAAACAGGTCAGAAAAAGAGATCTATTAAATTACACAACGGATAATAACATCTCTGTGAATGTGTGCATAACATAGTGGAAATGTAAGGTGATTCTTCAATATACCCAACTTATTTTGGAGATGTACATGATTCCGAACAATAGTTTAAGAGTAACAAGCAATTATTGCAATAACTGTTTTCACCAGGAAGAAAGCTGCATGAACTAGTGTTACCATCAGGCTCATATTCAAATGTGCATTAGCAAGCAAATCCAAAGCTTAAACTATTGTATATATTGTGTACAATGTTTAAAATCTTGGTTTCCATACACTTGCATGCTACTTGCTGATTAATAAATTAGACACCAATTATGTAAGCCTGAACCAGAAAAATCGCTCAATATCATAGTGACACAGCTATCCTGTGATATTGGCCGGGCAGGTTAGGTCAAGAATTTTCACGACATTATACTAATGTGTTCTATTAAATCATGTATTTGCATACTTTATATATACACACACAAACACCAGAAACACGCAAAAGGCATCTAGTTTATTGTGCAAAACTTTACACGAGGTGGACGAAGTTTCCTTCATATTCTTATAGTCATTTTAGCTACACTCTGACAACTAGGAGAACTGAGTATTCTCCTTCATTGTATCTGGCAGAATTACACCTGACACACTGGTCTCCTGTGGCAGTGCATTCCACAGGCTGACTGTACTCTGTGGCAAGAAATATTTCCTTGTAATTCTAAAACATTTAACACTCTTAGCTTGTCACTTACTCTTTCATTCCTATTTGTTTTTCCCCCTAGAAAGTACAGTATATCCTAATTAGCTCTGGAGCTTTCGATGAGAGAACTCACCAAAGGATCTCCTTCAGCGTCACTCGGGGGAACTTGTTTGCTAGTTGAACCTTCCCGTGGCATTGAGTACCCATCAAATCCAACATCTTCAGGCCGCAGTTGCAGCAACGGAGGCCACTCGTGGTGCTGTGGAGTGGCTGCCCAGGGATACGTGTCCATTACCCATTTGGCTGGATCCTCCCAGGGAGCTCTCCTTCCATACAACTAGAAAACAAGAGCAAATGCATCTCTTAACATAGGTCTGTAATATAATGGGAACTACTACTTTAGTCCATGCTTGTCTCATCAAAGTGAACTCTTGTGTCACGGTTCTCCCAGTGTGGAAAACACTCTGAATGAAAGGTTTCAGAGTAGCAGCCGTGTTAGTCTGTATCCGCAAAAAGAACAGGAGTACTTGTGGCACTTTAGAGACTAACAAATTTATTAGAGCATAAGCTTTCGTGGGCTACTGCCCACTTCAAGGCTGGTCAAACAGGGTGTGACTTTCATCCTTATTACTCTGACTGTGAAGTTCTAGCTATGTAATGGTAACTGACTCAGAGGAGGCTGAGCATTTCCTTTGAGACCACAAACCCTCTTAATCTGCCACCAACTGGGGAGAAAGAGAACCTGAGAACAAACAACATTGCTTCAGAAGTTGAGTGCACCACCTCTCTGTTCCTATTTCTTTTGGACTAAACAATAAACAAAATACAAGTCACTAGTGTACACATCCTGTCTGCAGTGGAATACCAAATATTTGCTTTCAAAGTCACCAAGAAGTTGCAGTAGGTTGCTAGAACATATAAGTGTAGCTGCTCGATGCTTTTAATCAGAAACTATGGGGATGAATGCCAAGGAAATACTTTTTGAAGTCATTGGACTTTTGGACTTTCTCTGTGCTCACACTAGTGAGAGTGCCAGCAGAATCTGGCTCCGTATGATCAGCCTCGAAACACACACACCTCCAGAAAGGTGTTTTGATTTGAACTTAATGGTCAGGAAAACACAGCCAGTGCTGCTGAGCTAGATCATTTGTTTTATTTTTAAATAAACGCTCTTTGATCTATTCAGATCACTTAGTTTTCATTAGATGAAAACTCACTATTGAGCCACATGGGTTGCCAAAGCAGACGCCAAATGAAAAGAGATCTTCAAGTTTTCACTTCTGCTATAGGGTGACTGCCCTTCAGGAACTGGATTTCAGTAGCTGCTCTTTGTTACTTGAGCTCAAAGGATTCAGACTCCCCTTTACGGTGTACAGTGATGAGTGAAGCAATAAGACACAGTAGGAGGTCATGGTTGTATTATGAGAACATCTGAATGCCTTTAATCCACGGGGTATAACTCAGTGCTAACCCTCACCCCAAATCCCTTTATTGACATTAAGAACACTTTTTATGATGAAGGCAAATGTGTTTCGACACACGGAAATGGTTGATGTTGGTATGTTAGAAAGCTGAAAAGCAACTGAGCTGTGAGATTCTCCCAGATTAATCCCAATGTTCTCATTTTAGATTATTCTCCAGACATCTGAACAAAGCCTCAACCCAAGAATGTTTACAATACAGAATGCAAAAGCCAGCCACAAAAAGGATATTTAGCCATGAACCCATCCTCCCTTACGCTCTTAGAAAGCTCAATTGAAGCCAAATTCCTGAAGTCCTGGCTCCTCACCCTCAGTCAGCATTCTGTCTCTCAGAATCTATCCCCACCCAACACTGAGTTTTTAGATGCATTTTTACAGAAAATAATTACAGTCTTGAACAGACTTCCTCACAACCAACCAAGACATAAATAAAATAAAATATCATTTTGAGATTAATTTGTTGATTTTCATATCATAGTCTGAAAAGTAGCAATGATTGACAACCCCATATATTAAGCACTAATAGGTGGAACTGGAGAGGAATAAATGAGGAAAGAGACAGAGAGATTAATACACCAGTTCCACACACTACCTTCAGTGCAGTTACTCCCGATTTATACTGGGATAAGTGAGGAGAAAAATCAAGACCACAGATTTTCCATTCATTTCTGGACAAACAGACTCTGACAATTTTGGAAACTAAAGATTTAAAAATATCTGAATGAGACAGCCACTTCATAACGGTCACGAAAGCTGTTCAGTGACTAAACAGCTCCTATAAAGAGGAAGTACTTTTCCTTTAGCAGAAGTGGTGGGGATAAAGGGATTTGCCAACTCTTTCAGAGCTCAAGAACAGCTCAGTTTCCTCCAACTTCCACTCATCTATCATTGAGGCTGCTATCCTTATTGGCCAAGTAGGGCTCGTCAGGGAAAACTCTGAAGCCTATCAGTGCTATTTCTTATATTGGCTATTACTGTCGATGGCACTGGGAGCAATAGACAACTACTCCCCTCCTAATCCAGCATGCTGTCTCCAGAACAATCCAAAAAGAATGGTCCCAACCAGTGGCCTCGTTAGAGAATCAAATCTAGTTCTCCTGGATGGTGATGGGGAGTGTCAGCACCAAATATGCACCAAGACAATAGTGTTTGAATGCTATTAGCTATGCGGAAGAAACAGCACGATTAAAATGATCTTCCAATGAAACAAATGTGCTACTGAGATTAATGTACTTAAAGGGAACATCATCATCTGAGAAATGTTTTCTCAAATTTTTGCTCATGTTTGTGATAGTGAATTAGATCAGGAAGATTAATAGCCAAAGGTCCAGTTCTGTTACTGATCCTGCAGACTGAAGACACATCACAAAAATGAAGTAAGGCACTACTCAGTCTGAGTAAGGGTGGCAGAATGGTGCCCTGAATACATACAGAAAGAAAAACTCCACGGCAACGTCATATAAGAGGAGACTTTGTTACAAAGATACATATATAGCAAACAGACTAATTCCTTCTTGGAAGATTCTGATCCCATCAAATTATATGAGCCAAGTGGCTTATTCCACTGGAGCCACCAAGGAGTTTAAAGTTTATGTGCAATGGTGGTGTATATAAATATAGATTTTTATATATATGGCAACAAAGTGCAGATTAAGAAATTATGCAATGATTAACTGCTTTAAATGTTAGCATTTATTCCATTCTGAAATTATGCCCAAGTGATCAAATGAGTTGGCACAGTTGTCCAGTAGGTGGGGCCAGACAGTCTTAAATCCATCTTTCCCTTCTCAAAAAGAAAATATTCTTCATAATCATTTAGTTAGGTTGCAATGTAAGTTGTGGTAAACTGGGTCTACTATTTAAATCTGTTTCCCCAACGTATGGAGCATTCATCACAGCTGCTAAGCTGCTAAGTGGTGGAGTGATTTGTAAACTCTACATAAGGCTCCTGGGTATTGAAAAAGACAAATGTTTCCATTAATTCCTGACTCCTGACTCCAAACCCCCTGCTCTAGCCAAAGATATGCTGGCTCCCATAAAAGGTAAAAGTGCCAGTACTATCCCAGCTTTCTAAAACTGTTGGAGAACCTGAATTTTTAATCAAATGCTAAGTGCAGGCAGTTCAATAACTCTGCTAAAATTTGAATTAATGAAGGTTTATTTACAGACCCCGGAGGCACTGCAAAGAAATTCAATCAATATTTCATCACCTGGACTGAGAAAAAAATAGACAAAGTGCCTGTGAGAACGATCCTAACACTCGTTCAATAAATCTCTCCCCATGCTGCTTAGTTTCTCTGCTGACAGATAGCTAAAGGTTGTGAGTTCATTGGCCATTGTAAACATACCGCAAATTCACATTTAGTTTTAAGAAGGAAAATTAGGGATAATACTGTAAATGGATGCTTTCAAGTATGGCATTTTTGATGTGGGGTAACATTTTCAAAAGAGCTTAAAAAACTTAAAAGCCTAAATTCCATTTTTAAAAATGGTTTAGGGCACTCAGAAGCCTAATTCTCATTGAAACTCAAAAGGGATTTAGGCTCCTAATGCCTAAATCATTTTTGAAAATTTTACCCTCAATCTCAGGTAGCTTCTAGAGGAAAGTATTAATGTGGTTCTATTGCATCCAGTATCTCCTTGCTATTTAGACAGAAACCCTATTCAGGGTTCACATTTGACTTCCTCACCTGTAGTCCTTCTCTGACTGCCTCCAAAAGATATGGGATAATAGAGTAGTTCCACAAGTCAGTAAACCAGACCCTAGAACCATCCACGTCTATTGGACAAGAGAGAAAGAGTCGTGGACCTGGAAGGGGAAATTAAAGTCTCATCATTAACATGGTTTGCAGCAGTTAATTCAAAAGCAATATCAAACACCAACTCTAAGTTCTTTGGAGACTGTAACTTAAGTGGTGAGCAGAAATGTACAAATGTCAGCACCTGCTCTTTTTGAGATAATTTGAAAGTCCCTGAATTACCTCGATACTGTATTGCATTCAAGAAGGAACCAATTACAGAGTTCACAAACAGAATTTTAAAAACTCCTTTATGTCTACAATCTATTTATTATGAACCCTTGGTACAGTTTTGCTTGATAGCATGGTCAGTCTAAAAATGTGGCTTTTATAAATCATTTCCCCGCAATGGCTATTTAATTCCAGTGGAGTATGAGGAACTGGAATATATCCTCTCAGTAATGTCAGAGAATGCTTTGGTGCTAGAATGCGAATTCTCAGTTCTCACCAATAGTAACATCAGAGGAACTGTGAGCCTCCAAGAACTTGTTGAGATGCTGCCAGACCTTGGGAATCCAGTCAATGATTTTAACCAGTTCTGCATTTCTCATCCTACCACTGATTTCTGTTTCAATTAGTTTTCGTCTCAGGAAACGACCAAGAAAGCCCTTGACTGGCTCAGTGTGGTTAGCACATAGCACCCATCTAAAGCAGAAGAAGAGAAGTGTCAGAGATTTACCTGTTATTCTAGAGAGTAGTAAAATGACAGGTTAGGTCCTGAGTGGGTTTTGTTCATCCTATCTAGCTGATATTCTCTTTATATTCTCAGCTAAGCAGTAGAACCATAACCATCAGGTAATTTGGCAATTTATATACAGTACCTGAAATTGTGGTGTAGTTGAAGGTTAGGTGTTGAGGATGTGGCCTGGTTCATTGTGCCAATAATGTAAGGACTATGAGAAAACATTGAATAAATCAGTATTTGTAAACTCATTTCTAGGCAATAATTCAAACACATTTAATAAGTAACTTTCAAATTAAGACCTTTACAACCTTAATATTCAGCTAGGTTTACTCCAGCCCCTAGTGTGCCAGTGCAGTTTATCTGCAGGTATAAATAATTACACTCACATTTTTGTGCCTGCAATGCATTGTGGGTGCAAAACTAACACCTCAAAATAGAGGCCGTCACTGAAACTGGGGTCTTAATATTCAAGGGCTATTGTGTGTGACGAATACAATTTACCCAAATACTTTACTACATTTTTATTACATAGATACACACACATATATAATTTTATTTAACAGTTCTATGCAACTAAACTCTGCTGACAGAATCAGTTCTAGCTGTCTCAGATCATAGTATCAAAAATAATCTGATACATGTTGTCTAGAATGTATTTTATTGACCGGGGTATAAGTCTGGCTATGTGGAAGGATCTGTTTTAGGGTTTGAAGTGTGGGTCTAATATTCCATTACCATTTATGGTACTTGCAGTTCAGAAGCCCATTGAAGATCTCTCCTAGGGAGCTAACATGATGCAAATTGTCCAGAATGATGACAAGAGGCATATCCACAGCATTATTTTCGCTATTACATTGGTCAGCAAGGTTGGACAAGTATTGACGCAGTTCCTGCAAAGTATATGTAGAAGAGAAAGCTGGTTTTCATCTTATTCCTTGGAAACCCAGTTAACAGAGAAAAACGATTTGCTATTTGACTGTTGGATTCAGTTCTAGAAATGCTCCTGATAAAGAATATAACATAGCCTGCTTTGCTTTAGTCACAAGAGGTCAGATTGTTCCAAGTGGAATAATCATATGACTTCTATTTTTAATTTTTGTTTTAATCCGAATACTTTCGGGTGTTACAGACTCAAAGATGTACCAGGAGTTCTGTTTGGGAAGCCTATTTGGGGATTCCCAGGGGCCGTCTGCCTTTTTGCTAAAGCAGCTTGTGCTACACTGTTCTGGCAACACTACACAGAGCGCTGAGATGTTTTAAGCACTTACTCATATCTCCGTATACTGGGTAAGCAGGTGAGAAAGTTACAGAAGGAGCAGTGCACCTCAGCTGCCCATGCTTGCCATGTTTGATCACATTCTTGCCATTGTGTTACTAACTACAGCACAGAGAATGAGCCTGGCCATGATGCTCATTTGCGGAGGCAGAAGTTAGATGGCTTGGACAATGCCATGAAAGAAGGATGAGTTCAGTGCCACCGCTGAACATTTGGGTGAGATTGCTCTCATCTTCTCTAAAGTGTGCATTAAACAGGATTGCCCAAATTATATCAGTTGCTAGTGACCACACTTTCCAGCACTTTGCTCCAAAGAACTCTCTATTCCACATGAGGCCATCACATACATAGCTTGGCAGGACAGCATTGTTTTCTTACCTACAAACCTTACCAGAGATATACACAGAAAAATACTGCTGCTATTATTTGTAGGCACATAGCCACTCTAGCTTTTATGTTAATACAACGTAGAGGTGCATTATACTGTTACCTTTTTTTTCCCTTCAAAGCACCCAATAGCTCTCTCAAAGGTTTTACATCACAGTAGCTTACTGATATTTACTTAAAATTTAACAGCTGAATTCCTCATTTCTGGCACATAGTAGCAGTGTTTCTATAAAGATACCTTCCATTTCCTCACCTTACTGGACTTATGATCCACGTTGAAGGTTGCAATAACTCCATCAGCCAGCTCTCTGCCCTCTCTAAGTACCATAAACTCAGAAAGACGATTTGCTAGGTACGTTTTACCAGTGCCACTTGGCCCAGACAAGATAATCCGTCTATGTTCCATTAAGAGAGAGACATATCGCTGAAGTATAGGCTTTGGAATCAGTGACTCAAACACCAGACAGTCCAAACTGTTCTCACAGATACCTGCATTTAGAAAATCATCATCATTCAGGGGATCCATAACTTGCTAAAGTTGCTAAAAGTTTTGGGTTTTTTTTAAAAAGGGTTTTTAAACTTTTCTCTGAGTAGCAAAAATATCAGTTCCCATTGAGAAAAATGTATGCATTTCCACTGCCAAGTTTAGACTAAATTAGAGCTAAAGGGTAAAAGAAAGCACTGATTTAAAATAGAAAATCTGATTGTGTGTGACCCTGTGGCCAGTTATACCAGGAAACAACCCAAAAGCTTCACTCAGAAGTTGCAGACTCCACCCACACCAATCATAAGCAGAACCTTCCCTACCCCAGATGAAGACTCCTTTCTACACTATAGCATTTCTCATGGTAGAGAAGAGTCATGAATCAGTTAGTTATATTGAATGCAAAGTGTCTTTACTGGGACCTCTCCTGGCTCTCTAGCTCCCAGACTAGCCAACACAGCCTACGCTTCCTAAGTCCTGCCCTGGACAAATGGTCATAGATATAATTTCTGGATAAACTATATGCCCATGAGCCATCGTCATTCTTTAGATTTCCTCCACCATGGAGCAGTGAAAGTTTATTTTGTCTATCAAGAACTGCTGGGTATAGCCTGGCTTCCAGTTCTATTGTAGACAAATCTATTCACAGGCCATTTCATTGTCAAGTACAGTCACAGAAAGAGATACATTTACCCAGAATTTAGCCATTTATTTTTGCTCTGCAAAACAAACCTATCTATCATCAAGTCCCCCTGCCTTCACCAAACATCCAAACCATTTGAAATTAAACTCCTTCTGTGTATTATGATAGACACAGCTTCAGGCATAACAATTTCCATAGAAGAGCATTTGTGCAATGTCAGCAGTCACTTTAGGCAGAACTGGCTCAGGGCAAGCACACAAAGCTTAAAAATAAACTGAAGGAAGGGAATGTTAGCACATCAACGGCTGAGAGAATTGTTAGCACCTGACTGATTACTTACAAGATCAAACATTTGTATGCACAGCTCTATATCTGGAAGGTATAAATGAATTAGTGGCTTCCCACAAATTGATTAAAATAGAATTTTTAAAATAAAAATGTAAGTATATCATAAATGAGTCTACAAAGAACAAGTAAAGCTATTACAAGCTGAATATATAGCTTATTTAGTATGACAAGTTTTCAAGCAACATTTTCATTCAAATTGTACTGTGGGGCTTTTAGAAGAATGTCTTGGTTCTTGGATAAACCTGAATAAAATGAAATGTTTCAGTACTTTTGTGATTATGTTTTTCCTACTTTACAGCTAATATTAACACTAAGGGCTTGTCTATTCTGTGGGATGATATGCTTCACAGGCATGTGATTTCTCAAGTGCACTAATGTGTTGCATATTCATTGGCCCATGTAGACTCTGCTGGTGCACTTTAACAAAGTACTGTTTCAAACAGTACTATGTTCAAGCATACTTTGCACACCAGCACTAAATTACACAGGTGAGGCTGTGGTGGTAACTTAATGGTACTGCTGCTGTGTAGGGCCATGAAAGAGAAATTGATTCCATTCCTGGGTCCCTCTTTTTCATGACAGCAAGCCTGTTCAGTCCTTTATGTGGTAGGAAGAGAACATTTTCTGTTGCTTAACAGCACCTCTGGTTGATTAAATGAGCAGCACTGTCAGCCAATAAAGGGACTCCCATACGGTTCACCTCAGCTGGAAGGAAGTTGATTATGGCACAGATCTGAAGAGAGGGAGGGGACAGAATGAGTCACCAAAAGAAATATAGAAGATTCCCCCTCTCCCCCCCTCAGCCAATTAAAGAAAGAAGGAAGGAAAGAACAGACGCAGCAGAGTTCAAACCATGAATCCTAGGACCTTTTCTTGGTTCTACCTGTGACCTAATGAGGGGCCTTTACTGAAGTCGATGGGCCCTGGTGGAGAAAGGTGCTAATCAATAGGAGTAAGGGTATCAGAGTCTAGACCAAGGTGCATTCCGAATCCAGGATGAAATCTGCTGCAAGTGCAATTGTTATTATTACTATTACAGGACTAAGAAGATACAGTGATACTGAATTTGGGTACAGGCCCAATGTCCTAAAACTCTTCAGAGTCTAATGCTTAAATTAACAAATGTCACTGAAGAAGTAAGGTACAGGTGGGTTAAAGTGAGAGACAGGGAAAAAGAAATGTAATAAAACTTCTCCGATTCTCCGAGCTTCCTAAAACCATGGGCGTTATCAGATATAATTACTGAGATCTACAATGGATGGATCAAGTATAATTACCTTTGATAGTAACTGAGATGGTGTTGTTTTCGCCAACCAGATAGCCACAGGGCAGCAGTTCAGGAGTCTCGGCACTATTTGTGCGTTTGATTTCCCCAATGTTGTATCCCAAAACACTGTCTGAATTCAATCCTAGCTGACTCACTGGATCCACATGAATGATATATTCCTGGGGTGAAAAAATAAACTTCTAAAATCTACTTGCCCTGAAGGTTCTATGTCACAACACCACCACACAACACTTAGGTAGTGCTTTGCATTTTCAAAGTGCTATACAAACATTATCAAATTAGTCCTCACAGCATCCCTCTGAAGTAGGATGGTAACTGTTATCTCTACTTTACAAACAAGGAAGTTGAGGTAGAAAGAGGTTAATTGAATTGCCCAAAGTCACACAGCATGTCTGTCTGAGCCAAGATTAGAATTCAGTGCTCCCTGGCGCCAAGCTTGCATTCAGACCAATATGCAAATCCAAGTCTCCATGGAGGGCCACAAGATATTGTAGTTAGATATACTGTTAACTATGAAAACATTTATTACTGAGTGGGAAGATTCAAATACACAGTAAATTGTCACTGTTTACCTTAAATAACCGTCTAACAACCCCATCCAGTACATCCCATTTTGTCTTGCCACTGACTCCAATGCAGCCAATGAGGAAGAGGCGGGGCCTGGAATCCTAATACATACAAACATATTAATTAAAATGAAAAGAAAGCTAATGATGTGAGACTGTCCAAAGTAAATGATTTGTTTAAAATCCTGGTTTGTCTCTACCACAGTTGGTCTCTACTTTATAACAACATAAGGTAAATTTTGAAAACCATACCAAAATCCTCCCTATTCTACTGAATAGTCTTTGCAATGTTAAATGCACAATTAAAATAATGGTTATTAATATAAAAGGCACTTAAAATTCAATCCACCAGAAGTTTTAAATATCAGGAAGTAGAGCTTAGCAAGAAGAAGAAAATTATAGCCATTATAATCAGAAACTGAGCTTGTGGTACCATATTTATTTTCTCAATAACTTCCAGATCTAATATGCTCAATTTACAAGTAAAAAAAGTCTTCCCCTTCCCATTTCTGAAAACTCCACCAGGGATCTGAAAATCAAGTTAGATTCTTTGTATCTGTTGGCAATAAAGATTATACTATGAGAATTTAGCTGACAATTTTGTTCATGATTGTCTAAGGGAGAACAGAAAGAACAGAAATCAACTTGTTTTGCAACAACTGTATGGGATCTGCACTGCTAACAGAAGAAAAAATAGTTGTTGTCATTAAAAATAACAGATACGACTCCAAGACACATCAGTGTAATAAGATACCATTTTTATTTAATTACTTTTCTGATCATGAACACAGGTCTAGTCAAATAGAATTAAACAAATCATTTTTATAGTTAATTTGCTTATACATGGGTGCATCCTTGGTGAATTAATTTCCCCACAGAATTTATTCAAGTACATTTGGCATTTAATGGAAAGCAGATCTGTTGACTCAGTTGCATCTCCAATTATTTGATTTATCTTATGTCACCCTATTTAATACATGCATGTGTGAGTGACACAAACGATTGCTCAAATAGGTGTTTATTAAGGAACAGCTACTCAATGATTTGGTTTGATTGGTGCTCTGTAAATGCAATTTAGCAGATTTACACATGCACTACACGTTTATTAAGAGGACTGCAATGCACAAGACTTGAAACGTGTTTGTTGTTTAATCTGTTTAGAATTAACCAGGTGTGTTTGGAGGTCAGGGGATAGGGGTGTTTAAGCCTGGAACAGTTTCAAAATGTGACCCTGATTTAAATGTAGACAATTTGGGCTGGAATGACAAACTTTGGGTCTCCTCAGACTGGATCCATTAGTTTTGCTGTGAGGCAGGCCACTCTTCTTACTGCCTATCTCAACAGAATGATTTGAATGCTAAATTAGTATGAGAACTGGAGAACTGCTAAAAGAATTTTAAAATATTTGCAAAAAATAAATAAATGCAAAACAGCTTCCAAGCAGTAAAGAGAGGAGTTCAGGATCAAGCCCCGCCCAACCCACTTACATTTCAAAGCTGAGGAGAGGGTATAGAGGCCTAATATAGAACACAACTCACCTCCTTCCATTTAATTTCATCCTGAAAGTTAACAACTATTTTAACATGCCTGCCTCCTTCCTTCCGGGCACAGCCATCACCAGGGTCATCTAATAGCATGTCTGTGAATGGCAAACATCAGTCTCTTAGTTTTACAATGACAGCAATGAAGAGCATTACACCAATATTTTTGTTACACTGTGACAGAACACAACTTAGGCCTCACGTGCATAGAGGCATAACGTGAGAATATTGTTAGTGACATCCCTCCCAAATCTGCTTACGATTCTCAAAAAGGGAAAGTCACAGAAAATTACCATCAGTTACCCCATATTTTCCTTCCTACAAAATATAATGTTCACAAATATACACAATTAAATGTCTCTGAACATGATTCTGTGTAGCTGAGGTCATAATTGGAAAGCTAGGTTTTAGGGTGTAGCAGAATATGACAACATTCTAATAGAAGGGTTTATCCCAGTGGCTGACACATATCCACACCAGAGCCATTAATAAACCTTATTCTTTTGTTTCTCATGGCTAACTAAAGTGAACATTCCAACTACAGGATAAAACTTGCCCATTGCCTTTCACAGTATGCTCACCGAGGCTGGTAGACTCTGTGAGGTTCAGGCTGTGCTGAGAGAGACCCATGGACTGTCTTGGCGAGGATGAAATGGAAACCTGAGACTGAGCCCTGCTACAGCTGCCATGGTTTTCAGACTTCAACCGGTCATTTTCTGCTTTTAACTTCTCAATCTCGCTCTTGAAAAGAAAAGTCAGCAGACAAGAGGCACATATTACCTCAATTCATTTATGAGTGGCTGCAAGTATACATTTCAAGAAACTAACTAAAGTATCTAAAGAATAAACCCCAGATGTTTAATAAGATGCACTTTTCAAAATCCCTTTGAAAAACCTGCATACTAAGAAGTCTAAGGGGCATGCACTTTGTAGTGACTGTAGGCCAAGTGTACACACACGCACACACCAGGGGCTCCTTGTGTTCCTCCATTCCATCCCACAAGCTCCTTGTGTGCCATCCTCCTACCCCTGGGAGGAATATTCCTGGGATTCCCTGAAATCTCTCTCCCTGCCAGGGGTTATGTGCACCGCTCCACTTCCCCTCCTCTCCTTTCTGGGTTCTCCATTCTCTCTTTTCAAGGCAGAGGCTCAGCGTGTGTCCCAATTCCCCCTTACACCTGTACCATGGTTCTTCAATCTCCCCTTCCTGCCAGAGGTTCTTGTATCCCCTTTCGCTCTATTGACATTCTCCCACATGCTGGGGGCTTTGTATGCATTCACCCCTCTACCATACCAGGATCCCGCAGTCTCTCCCAGACCAGGGATTTTGTGTGTCTCCCATTTCCTATCTCCGATTTCAGGGTTCCCCAATCTCCCCTATACCAGGGGCTGTGTGCCCCCCAGTTCTAGGAGTCCTCCCCTACTCCTCCCTCCATTTCCAGGGGTCCCACATCCTCCTCACCATGTCAGGGTTGTGTACATGTTCCCATTTCCCCTTGTACCGACCATTTCTCCCTAGAGGTAACACCCTAGTTGGCCGAGCTTGCAAAGGCCTCATACTCAACTCAGAAATACAGTCCCCCATCTCCTCCTTTTGAATTTTCAATGTTCCCCCAAATCAACAGCATTCTGGCCACTGTTGCCTAGAATATTCCCTGAAATGCCTGAATTGATTGGATGCAGCATTCAAACATTATTGTGTTACATACGGACAGAAAGAGAAATGCCGTTAAGTGTAAGGCTTTTGCAAGTTCGTCTAATGAAAATCCTTTACATTCTGATAAAAGTTTCCCAAGGCACACTACACATCACTTCCCATTGACATGCAGTCACCCCTGGGTAGAGCATGGCAACTGGCTAAATGACCACCGGTGGTGGATTAAGTGATTTCTTTAAACAAGTAGCTTGTAAGATTGAAAGTGTAATACCAGAGGTGTGGGTTACCATGTCTACATTGGTGAGAAGAGCTGAGGGACCTTCAATGGCCATGAGGCGTCAGTGGACCTTGATTTTACACATCCTCTGAAATTATGTTGTGGTGGACTGTTCAGTCCTTAACAGATAAAAGCAAATTTTTTTGTTTTTTGTTTTTATTCCATTCCTACCTGCATCCTGTTCATGGCCTCCCGAAGCTGGTCTAGCTGGTGGGCAGAGCTAAGGGCCTCCAGACGAATATCAGTCAGCTTCATCTCTTTGTCTCTTAGCTCGTTGCGTAACTGCATGACTGTTTCAGCTTCACTGTCAGTACATTCAGAAATACTGGGAAAGGTTGTAAAACAGTCAGTTAACCAGAGAGTTTGGGAGCATTGCTTCCAAATGCTGTTTCAGAGTATTTCATTAATAAAGCAAAAACAATTTTCTCTGATTCAGCAAGATGTGCCTGATGGAGAAAAATCAGTTGCCGCGTACAGCACCAATGAGGACATAGATAAAGTTCTACATAGAAGTTTTTGCCCCACTTTCTCCTCAATTCTAAAATACTGATATAAAATTCCTGCAAAATTTTGCCCCATTGTCTCTCTGGTTATCTATGTCTGATTTGTTATCCCTTGAGATTTTCTCACCTAATTATCTGATATTAACATTAAAACGCCCTTTTCTCCAATTCTTGAATACTGATTGATATAAAATCCTTGCAAATTTTGCTAATTTTCTCTCTAATTATCATATACAGATATAAAATACACTCAAATTTTACCTTTTTATATGTATCAACTATGGCTATAAAATCCCTCAACCTTTTCTACTTTCCTCTAATTTGTGACAATGGATCTCATATTCGTACCCTTTTCTTTTTTAATCACTGAACACTGATATCAAATTTCAGTTTTTACCATTTCTCATGTAATTACCAAGTACTGATTTGAAAAAAATCCACTTAGGTTTGGAGGCGTTCCCCATATATTTTAAATGTTGCCCCCCCACTTCTTTTTTGGAGTGAACCTGTTGTCCTGAGTCATTCTCCACTGGAGGTACCGGGGGATTAAATTCCCTCCCCCAGCTTCCCCTGATCAGACCCATGGGCCCACCCAGCCCAGTATCTGCTGACCTTTATGTTGATAAACTGGAGAGGGTTCACAAGAATGATTCAAGGATTAGAAAGCATGCCTTATAGTGATAGACTCAAAAAGCTCAATCTATTTAGCTTAACAAAGAGGTTAAGGGGGATGACTTGATTACAGTTTATAAGTATCTATACAGGAAACAAATATTTAATAATGGACCCTTCAGTCTAGCAGAGAAAGGTATAAACAACTAGGGTGACCAGACGTCCCGATTTTATCGGGACTGTCCCGATATTTCCTTCTTTGTCCCGATGTTCGGGACACTGGACAAAAAAGCAATTTTGCCCTCCGCTCCGGCGCTCACGCCCCCCCCCCCCGATTCTGCCCCTTCCTTCCCCCATTGGAT